TGTGGTGCATCTCCCACAGTGCATTGCACTATACAGCCACTACAATGCCTTGTGGTACATCTCCCACAGTGCATTGCACTATACAGCTGCTACAGTGCATTGTAGTACAGCTCCCACTGTGTATTGTACAATACAGCTGCTACAATGCCTTGTGGTATATCTCCCATAGTGCATTGCATTATACAGCCGCTACAAGCCTTGTGGTACATCTCCCACAGTGCATTGCACTATACAGCCGCTACAATGCCTTGTGGTACATCTCCCGAGTGCATTGCACTATACAGCCGCTACAATGCCTTGTGGTACATCTCCCACAGTGCATTGCACTATACAGCCGCTACAATGCATTGTGGTACATCTCCCATAGTGCATTACACAATACAGCCGCTACAATGCCATGTGGTACATCTCCCACAGTGCATTGCACTATACAGCCGCTACAATGCCTTGTGGTACATTTCCCACAGTGCATTGCACTATACAGCCGCTACAGTGCATTGTGGTACATCTCCCACAGTGCATTGCACTATACAGCCACTACAATGCCTTGTGGTACATCTCCCACAGTGCATTGCACTATACAGCTGCTACAGTGCATTGTAGTACATCTCCCACTGTGTATTGTACAATACAGCCGCTACAATGCCTTGTGGTACATCTCCCATAGTGCATTGCATTATACAGCCGCTACAATGCCTTGTGGTACATCTCCCACAGTGCATTGCACTATACAGCCACTACAATGCCTTGTGGTACTTCTCCCACAGTGCATTGCACTATACAGCCGCTACAGTGCATTGTGGTACATCTCCCACAGTGCATTGCACTAAACAGCCACTACAATGCCTTGTGGTACATCTCCCATAGTGCATTGCACTATACAGCCACTACAATGCCTTGTGGTACATCTCCCATAGTGCATTGCACTATACAGCCGCTACAATGCCTTGTGGTACATCTCCCACAGTGCATTGCACTATACAGCCACTACAATGCCTTGTGGTACATCTCCCATAGTGCATACATAATAAACTACAGCTCCTATGGTGCATTGTACATCAACTCCGATGGTGAATTACACAACAGTTCCCATGGTGCCCTACACAGTTCCTGAAATTTACCTCTCAAAATAAAGTAAGCCATACAAACATGGCCTTGAGTGATTGAATACCACAAACTTGTAAGCTATCTGCAGTGTTCCAACATATTAGGGTTTGTTGCTATGCCAACTGATTTTATCATTTCACATGGTAATCACAATAATCCGCGAGTTCTGCATATAATATGAAATAGAAATGATTGCATTGATACAATTCTAACTGAGATAAAGAAAATAGGTTGCAGAAAAAGTTACATTAAAAGTGTGATGCTCAAATAAGTTGCATTGCTAGGTACTTGCATATAACATTGTTTAGATTTCTAGATCAGTTTCATACAATATTATGTAATATTTAGTTTTTTATTTTATGCAGTAGAGTAATTTTTTTCACTGTCTATATCTTGGTAGTATTTTGAGAAACAAACAATGTAGAAACATTACCCGAGCAATCAGAAGTAAGAGTGGAAAATATGAGGTTCAGAAATCACTTAAGAATAACAGAGAGAGCGAGAGCGCAAGCGAGAGAGAGAGAGAGAGAGAGAGAGAGAGAGAGAGAGATATGTGAAAAATTGCACCGTTTTACTATAAATCTACAACTTGGGCACACCCTACTGTACAAATATGGAAAGACATTAACACAGGCACTGAAACGAATAAATATGACTAAACAAAAATAAATACATAAATATACTACATTTGTTATGTGTGTTTAAGTTACAGTCATATTTATCAATTCAAGTGTGTACACTTCTGTTTCAAAAACAACAAAACTTGAAGTCTGATTTATGTATTGAATAAATACCCTGATTAAATTATTTACACTTTTTGAACACTGATTTCTGTATTTTGTGCAAATACTTAAAATACAAAATGTTAAACTTATTATTTCAATAAAAATTGTGAATGATCCGTCCTCAGTTCTGACACTCTATTATTTTTACAAACTTTTCTTTGCGTTTACTTTCAATAATTCGATTGAGGGAGTCTCTGTCATGCCATCCATTAAGTCTTCTTGGTGATGGGTTGGACTGGATGCGAGAGTTTGGTGGTGTGGTGAAAAGTATGTGTTCCCATGATGGATTCTTCTCAGCTCCTGAAAGTATACAAGACACTCAGAATACCAGAATTGATTCCACCAAATATTTGGTGCAACATTTAGCATGCTTTTAAGTATTTTTTTAAAATTATTCCTATCACGTTTTTCAATTTTATAGTGGTTACATATCTAAATCAAGATTATTGAAAAAAATTTGGTACTTGACATTCTATTGGCTAATTGTCATTTATTTGCACATTATTAAAATTTATAGTGCTGAGAACAGATTTAAATCATCTAAATCAGCAATAATTAAAATGATATCAGCATTATTCATGATCTAATCAGCAATATCAAGTCAACTAGAAAGCTGGAATCTTACATAGCAATTGAAGATGAACCATATGCCATATGTAAACAGTTACCATTTATGACCTACCAGTGATATTAGGTTTATCATCAATAAGCAGATCACCACTGACAACAGTCTTGTCTCGTGTCAACACCATACGTGTCACAAAATCATTACCAAGATATTTATCAATCCACTGGAACTGAAAAATTATATGATAGAATCAAATGCAATAAACAGATGATTAAAATGTTGTAACCCACGGTTCAAATGACATTGTTTTGCTGAACCGACTATGCCTGGCCACACATTGTTTTGAGATATTCATAAGCAAACAGAAATGTGTAACCATGGTTACCAGCTGTGGTGTAACTGAGTATAAACTTAATTGAAACTAAATATTTTTTCATGGACACCTGCCAGACTATTTTATAGATACAATGATTGTCCAAATTGTTAAAGATAAGACTAAAGATATCACAAAGTGAATAACTATAACCCTGTTGCTATAGTAACCGTTTTATCAAAACTATTTGAATTGTGCATTTTAAATCAAATTGAAAAGTTAATCGTGACTAGTGATTTTCAGTTTGGGTTTAAATGCAAGCATTCAACAGAAATGTGCATCTTCGTAGTGAAGGAAATTGGCGACTTCTATAAAAGTCACAACTCGCCCGTTTTTGCTTGTTTCATGGACGCAACAAAAGCGTTTGACAGGGTAAACCATTGGAAGTTATTCAAAAAATTACTTGATAGGGGAATGCCTGTATTCATTGTGTGTTGTCTGTTGCATTGGTATCGAGGTCAAACTTTTTGTATGAGATGGGTTTCAGAAATATCTGCGTCCTTTAGAATGACCAATGGAGTCCGACGAGGAAGCATTTTTTTGCCAACGTTATTTTCAATTTATATTGATGATCTCAGTACTAGGCTGCAACAAGCGGGTGTTGGATGTCATTTAGCTGGTAAAATAATGAATCATCTTTTTTATGCTGATGATATTTTGTTAGTTTCACCTTCTGTCAAATCATTGAAAAAGCTCGTTGAGATCTGCGAGTGTTATGGTGAGGAGTTTGACATTCTTTTCCACACTACTTAGACAGAATGCATGTAATTTTTTCCAAAAACGTGGGGACAGACAAGGGTCCCAAGCGTGTACTTGTATGGTAAACCTCTGGTTTTCGTCTCAGTGAAAAAGTACCTAGGCCATATGGTGTCATCAGATGGCAAGGATGAAGCTGATATGAAACGACAATTGCGGTGTATTTATGCTAGGGCAAATTTTATTTTACGAAAATTTATAAAGAGTTCAGAGTACGTTAAGTGTTTGTTATTTAGAACGTATTTATACAGTATATATTGTTTGAATGTTTGGTGTGATTATCGTACACAAATTGTGAATACAGTGCGAGTGGCTTATAATAACACTGTAAGATTGATCTTTAGCCTTAAACGGGCTAGCAGCGCCAGTGGTAATTGCGTGAGAAGAAATATTTTGAACTTTGAATCTCTTCAGCGCAAGGCATTATATAACTTCAGTCAGTGCCTACTTATGAGCGATAATGCTTTAATTCGTAATTGTGTCAACTCTTGACAGTTTTTTCTTATCCAAATTTTGGACTAATCTTAGACGTTGCATTTATTAGTGTTGGTGTTTGTTATGTATTTAATATGGGACTTTTTTGGCCTGAAATAAAGGATTAATAATAATAATAATAATAAGATCAGAAACACTTCTCATTACATTTTAATGAAGTTTCTCACTCATGAACATATAGCAGCTAAAAATCATTAATTTAAAATGGAATTTTTCAGCAGTGGATATTGCAATGGAATCATTAATTCTAGAAGTTTTTGTGAAAATTTAATTGTTAAATGTTTCTCCAAATGTAGAAAAATGTTGACCCCCCCCCCCCCCCAAGTTAGAGAGAATCTAAATTCAAGTCGTCCCTCTCAATTTTAGAAAAAATGTGGACCATGGGAATCCCAGATGTTACACAGACAATCTCATAAAACAAAAGAAAACTCACCTTTTCAGTAACGCAGTGTGTGTACTTTTGTACAGGGGATGTACAGATAAACACATCAATACTAAAGAAGAAATAACAAAATGTTAGATTTACATGATAATTGGGTATTTTGAGCAGCAACAGTCACAGCTGCTGACTGACACCATCCGTTACTATCATGATCCAATTTGGGAATTTTCAGTCACCTAAATTTTACAATTTCTTGTCACTTGATTTGTTAACTTATTATTGTTGCCATTCACAAAAATATATCTGTACAAATGCAGCATTACAATTCTTACATATGTGCAGACAATGTAATGCATGTACAGTTTAAGTCTTAATTATTTGCTGTGTTTTGTTTTCACTCATGCGCTAAATTAAAACCTAGTGAATATCCATAAATAAATTAAAATTCAATGTTTTCTTCCAGTCAATTTAAAACCAACAAATCTGCTAAAATTAAAGACAAGGAATAATTTCCACTGTAAAGTACGAATGAAATCACTTGAAGGTCATAGGTCAATGTGGGTGTTGTAAACTTACTCATTCATGTTGTCTAATTCTTTCACAGTTTCTAGTGCTCCAGCAATTGGAGGAAGATCGAGGAAGAAACCAGCTTCCTCATAAACAGAAAACACTAAATCCTGAACATATTAACAATAAACATTATTAATCATCGTAAAATGTAATAAAATACATGTATATGGTTTCAGAATAGAATATATTGGTAGTAAGCATAGTAGTAAAATCAAAAACATAACAAAAATACATTTTCTATTTTTTTAGTAAAAATAAGGTAAAAATACTAAATGCACTGTTTATGCAAGTAATAACTACACATTTACACGATTTTTTACAATCTGTACTGAAAGTCTGTGACGATGAACTCACTAATTCTGGAGTGCAACTATAAATTAACACTAATTAAATAAGTAAAATACTGAACCTACTTTTAATTCTGGTTTAATTTTGGCATACTGTTCGTTTAAGTAGAAACCATGTCTGTCTGCAACGTTGATGTAAGGTTCCCTAGGATATTTTTCTTGGTATCGCTTGAGAAAATGTCCCTCGAAATCAGCAAGCACTCCGTCCATATCGACAAGGATTCGTAAGTTGGTAGACATCATTACTGACGACAAATGCGGAAGCGTCGACTTAAGGCGGATTGTCTGAATTCTTGTGCAGAGTGTCTGTGGTCGTGCTGTGTTAAGTAATAACTTACAAAAGAGTCTGGTAAAATTCATGATACTATATAGGTTAAACAAACCATGGATTAACGTGAATTGTACAGTAGCGGCACTGCTGGTCAGGTTCTTTCGACTGAACTCTGAAATATCAGAGTGAGCGATTGTTCGTAAGGTCATAGGTTGTAACAATAAGTCAGGTGACATTCTTTTTCCTATTATTACCCGAGATGCTTTGCGAGAAATGTAGTTCGCCAACAAAATGGCATCTCCCCTTGAGCAGTTTGTGAATTCTGTAAGCACGTTGTCGGCACAAGGTAAGGGCGATGTTCGCATTTCTTGAGTGCTTTCAGTAGATGCGCATTAGTATATACAAAAAAGACGTAAAAAACATAGCACAGGGAGCCAGTGCAGACGTCAGACCAGACCATTATTTGGTTATGTCATGTTATTGGGCAATAAACTGCCTATATAGTTCCCTAACCCTTTGTAGCTCCATGTTCTGATCAAATGTAGACTATCCACACACGAGTGGAGGTAACACTGATAATGCCATCAAAAATAACAATCGTTTCTATCTATGCTGATATTGCTTTTTTTAGATTTGAATTGGAATTGGGGGGGGGGGTTACGGCAGACTATTCGCACTTCAGCAATGTATATATACAAAAGTAATTAGCTCAGCTCACTGTAAAACTAACAAATTGTTTTCTTTTTTACTCTGTGGACGGATATTACTTGCGTTACAGTGGCTGCAAACAAGATGTACACGGGGAGTTGGCAAACTCCCTTGGAAACTCCCTATGAACATTGCAATATTATATAGCGAGGGACTATTTTATTGACGTTATGAAATGATCTAATAAAAACGATTTCCTACAATTTGTAACGATCTCACTTAACTTTGTGCCACTTTGGACTAATTAATTATGTACTGTGGCTAAGTTGTTGTCTGTTTTCATATTGCAACATTGTTGTAACTTATATACAAAGGAAGTTGTAAATTATCTATACAAATCTTATTTGTATGGGAGTGGATGAGGTTATTAGAATATTGATAAGGACTTTTATAGTTTGTGCCTGCTGTAAGTAGTTGATGGGGGAAACAAGGGAAGCTTTGCTGTGAGAGTCTGATACAGTGCGCGCCACTGTAACATATACCTCATTTCCCTATAGTATGGTAGATAGAGCATTGAAATATTATATAATGTGTAATGCAATTGATCACTGAAAGATTGTCTTCGATTTTGTTTAGATGCCCATTGTAAATACAGAAATACGAACAGGTGCTGTGTGAAAGGGGAAAGTCCATAGCCATAATCTTGACACAGAGGGCGACATACCCTTGTTACTGTTATGTGCTCAATGTAAAAAGTATTACCAGATACCTAGCTTTTAATTACATTACCAAGATGCAATTATTCAAATTAGTAATAATAAACAGAAATAAAGACTACTACCTAATGCAAGCAATACTTGATCACATGTACGTACCCTTTTGTTCAAGTAATGATTCCTCAATATTTGGTTCTGAATAAATAGTACATGTATGTACCACATATCAAATGCAACAATTCTGGCAACAATTTGCAAGATATCTGGGTCAGAAATTCTTAGCAAACAGCTGAACATTGCCGTAGATTCGGCTCTGATTGAATTCTCAGCAGCCTAGGGCATTTAGCAAATCCATTGAATTGCATGTGAAGCTAATCAGGCCTAGCAACTTACTCAAAATTTGATTAGAAGCAAATAGTGTACTTTCCTTTCTAAATTTATACTTGTTATACAAGATTTCATAAAAATAAATTCAGTCAGTCAGGTTCTGACATGTATAACTTGCAAACGCTGTAACTGCTGTAATTCCAATTCATGGCTAAATTTTTTACTTTATTTGGCTCAAGACTTCAAATAATTTTAAAGTGCAGTGTCTGTCGTGCCAGCCATGCACAAAACATGAGTCTCATATAAACAAAGATAGCGACTTTGACTATTGTGCAGACCAACAAGAACAAACTGAGTTGTTAAGTTAATTTTTATGTGATTGAAAAGTATAAAATGTGATTTCATTATGGATTATGGGAAAATCAATGTTTATCAACACAAATATAACACATGTGTAGCGCAACAACCACTGCCCTTTAACAGACAATACAACTTGAATTGATAACACTTGTGTCCCATTGTCTAAATATTTATGTTTATGTCATATATTTGTATGATGTTCTTATTGTATGATGGAGCTCTTTTGACCATCAGGGTGCTTGTTATTAAATGTTCATTTTTTTTGATTAACAATTATATTATTATACTTTTGAAAACTACCAGCCAGCCCAATTGCCTTATAGCTTGTTAATTGAATTCTGTAAATCAACAATAATGACATTGCTTATGTAGCTAATTGCATGAAAATGACTTGTGCTTAATTTCATCTTGATATTGTTGATACTAGGTAGCTTTGCACAACTATGTGATGAAATAAGGAGAAGCACTGACTTACTGGCAAAGAATGCACCTAATTTGGATACACTGCTTGGTACATTAGATCCACAATTACATTCATTGGGAGTTCTTGCTGTATTGTAAGTAATAAAACATGATACTGTTCTATATTATTAATGTACCATGAGCATATCACCTTTCTAAATTGTGTTCTCCCAAATATAGACCCCTACTACAAACTTTTGTAAACACCTAGATCTGAGTTAGATAGTGTGACACAAGCTGTGTTTACAGCGAATAAAAGTCAATTGCTGGAAGAAAATTAATATTTCTTTAATTGTAACTGCATAAAAAACTTGAAAATGTTGGATATATGACATCTCAGTAATCAAATATGACAATAGAACATGTATGCATTGTTATTAATCAATTGTGTCAGTGATGATGCTGGCAGTAAATATAAAGCGCAATGACTATTATCTCTTTTCCATTTTCTTAGGAATGTCAAGTTCACTTTACCAGCAAGTTCAGTTCCAGACTTTGAAACCTTATTCTCACAAGTTCAGCTTTTTTTTGCAACTTGTAATGGAGAGCATGTTCGTTATGCCACAGAAAGTTGTAAGCATTTTATTGATCTATATACAAGTTAATTTTATATTTCAGTTGCAACAACTATTTACAATAGGGTTCTATGTGGCATTTCATTTGCTATACTATACCTATTCAAGTGTTTTTGCAAATGTCATAAACAAAAATAAAAAAATCATTCTAAGAAATGAAATATTTAAAAAGCTGGATACAATGCCAGATGACTGACAATACAGGTAACCTTATGAGGATAGTGTAACTTTCAGTCAAACTGCTCTATCATAACAAATTTTGTCTATTTTTCAGGGCAAAGTCGCATGAGTAAAATCAGGCACCATTTTTCCCCAAAGAATATCTATAATACTTTACAATCGAGCAGTTTGAATGTGGCGTTATCTCCAAAATGGCAACAACCAATCAAATCTACAGTCACTAGATATTACATCAAGTGACTTGTGTTTAAAATATTACTTGATGTTTCAAGATTATTTGTGAAGTACTACTTCTCAGTGTCTTGAGTGTGAAGAAATTGACATTGTCCAGACGGCATTGTCTACAACTGATAATGCATGTATGTGTAAAAAAAGTCTCACAAGAGGTGGCAAACGAACAGGGGCTTGGTAACCAAGAAGTCACAGTTGTACTGTAAGGCTGTGGCAACTGCTAAATCATATTGAAGAAAATGGTTTTGAGGCACATCATAGACGAAGAACCACAACTGGCAGTAGTGTTATGAGAAAATAAATACAACAGGTCTTGTACCTGGACATAAATATGCTAATTAGCTGATTATGAAGTCAGATTCAACGTCTTCACGTTCTTGTTGACTGTTTACTTTCAGATGCTAACCTGGCTCATCATTTAACTAGAGTGTTGGTTGAGAAAAAGCAACCATTGAGAGGTATTGATATAATTGCTAAAGCTATAACTAAAATACAGATTCACCCAGCACAGCTGACTTCATTACATGCTGATATCTGTCAGGTAAGTGTTATAATGCTTCCAGGAAGTAAACTCTATCACTTAGAATACATTGTCATCCACAAAAATCTCATTTTCTTTCTATTAATAAGTTAATGATGGACATGCAGACATTTTAGTAGTGTTTTTTAGCATGGACTAAGCACTACGTCCATTACGGCTGGCTAATCGCTCATGTGGAGATGAAATCTAGCGAGCTCTGCCTGGATCGTTTGCTTTTTCGGTTTCTAGCTTGGGTTGTTGCCGCTGGGTGGCATCTGACATTGTAGTTGGTAGGATAAGTTTTCTTTGTCATTTTTACCGTCGTTTTCCCTTTTGTGTGTAGTATTTTTCACAACAAAAATAAAACCCGGGTGTCGTAGCTTAATCACTTGTTGATTGCGTTACGTCACCTTTTACTACTGTAATTCGCTTCCCTCATGCATTTCGTCTTTATTTTATGCTTGATCTACGCATTTAAAAATGAATAGATGTAATGACAGCACCAAGACTCGCTGCCGTTTTTTGGTCTCCTAGTTTTTGAGTCGACTGTGCAGTGGTTATATTCAGAATTTACCAGCATCCGATATGCTTTTTGCCGTGGCTGTGTGCGAGGTTCGGGGTCTTTGCCTTGAAGGCGTGTGTTTTTAGCTCCGCTATCGACTTTGTCGAGCGGAGCTTATCATATGAGTGATTGTTCGTCGTCGTCATCGTCCGTCGTCCGTGTCAATGTTTTACTTTTTCGACTTCTTTTTGAAAACTACAAGCCTGAATGCTTTGATGCATGGTGTATATGTATCTTGGGCAGACCTCTCTCAGATTTGTTCATTTCATGATCATATCTTCAATTCTCTAATTTTGGTGAATATTTTTGTAATTTTTGGTAAAAAGTGATATTTTCGACTTCTTGTTAAAAACCGCAAGTCCAATTGCTTTGATATTACATATGTAGGTACTACATGTGGATCTCTCTCAGATTTGTTCATTTTGTAATGATATCTTTAGTTCTCTAATTTTGGTGAATATTTTTGTCATTTTTGGTAAAAAGTGATATTTTCGACTTCTTGTTAAAAACCGCAAGTCTAATTGCTTTGATATTACATATATAGGTACTACATGTGGACCTCTCTCAGATTTGTTCATTTTGTAATGATATCTTTAATTCTCTAATTTTGGTGAATATTTTTGTCATTTTTGGTAAAAAGTTATATTTTCGACTTCTTGTTAAAAACCACAAGTCCAATTGCTTTGATATTACATATATAGGTACTACATGTGGACCACTCTCAAATTTGTTCATTTTGTAATGATATCGTCAATTCTCTATTTTGGTGAATATTTTTGTCATTTTTGGTAAAAAGTGATATTTTTCGACTTCTTGTTAAAAGCTGCAAGTCCAATTGCTTTGATATTACATATATAGGTAC